TTTTACAATTTCTCTGCTTTCAATCTCTCATCACCAATGCGCGTTGAAGAAAATTATGAGAATTTGAACAATGAATAGATTGAATTTGGAATCTCTCATGTTGATATTTAGGTCTTTGTATTACGATGAATGAAAATAGGTTTGTCAATTCTTAATTCTTAGCGAAAAGTATGACTAGAAAACATGGAAGGGAAGATGTGCAACGGTAGGTACATACATGGAACTCAACTGAAATCATTGATGCTTATAATACATTCGGTGAAGTTCTTCTGTTTTGTCTCTAGGAATTTTGTACTCGCAATAGTTTCAAACGTAAGAGTTCAAGTACATGAAAAAATGCTCTTAATCACTTGAGCTACAAGCTCTTCACAGCCCGACCGCTAACTTAACTTGACTCTATTAATTTAAATTTTGAAATGTGTCAACTGAATCAATTGATCTACCCCCACTCCCCATTGGTTTAAAACGTGTATACAGTTAGTGAGATGCCAAAAATCTAACAGTACAGCAACCACAGAGCATCATGTCAGTGAGATGCCATACCACTGCAAACCCACAGTGTGATAAAATCCATGCTAGTACAATAATCAAGTCAATGTAAACCCGTTTTAATTTTTGGAAAGGGAATTTACTACTACCATAAAATGAGTTTAGTTGACCAAAACAGCATCCAGGAAAAGAAAAACGCATTTGTAGATAAAGATTGTGATGCATATTTGACCAGATTTTGATGTTAAGAAAGTCAGAAGTGCAAGATTTTGAGTGAAGGCTCAATGGGGAAAGCAATTGCAACACCTTTTGCATTTGATTCACATGTTGTAACGTTTGGTGAGCAAACAAACACTTCCTCCATTAGGATTCTGATGAAGTAAAAGGCAGAAAGAGCTTTTGCTGCATTTCCTCCTTAAGAATTTGGAATTGAGTGTGATAGGACTTGACAGCATAACTTAAGGCTCGGCAGTCGGCGCCCCCTCAAAACTTTTAAAACAAATCAAAGGCAAACTATGATTCCTTTGAAAAACCAGTTCAATATCCTGAGATTAGGCACACCTTACTGTTTTAGAATTTTTTTTTTTAGAGTGATTATGTATAGGCCAAAAAGCATTTCTATAGAGAATCACTTCTCCATATAATCACTTTAAGTGGTTTGAAGTGATTTGATGGAGAAGCATTTGCTTCTCCTCAGAATCACTTAAAATCACTTAAAGTGATTATGTGGAGAAGCACGTGGAATGTGCTTCTTCCCAGAAGTGATTATGACCTATCCAAAATCACTCCCAAACAAACCCTAATACTTTTTATTATAACAAAAAAAGGAGTGTAAGTAGATAAAAAGAGGAGTAGGAACATACAATTTCCAACAAAGGGAGTGTAAGTGGACAAAAGATGAGTGAGAAAATCAACTTCCTTTTTTTATGGCATGTGATGTGTTCAAGTCCGGATTCTCTTCTCTTTTCACATTCCAAATTAAAGATAAGTACAACATTGTCAAAATATTTGGCTGGACTCCTATAAATTAACGACAAAAATTAATTAATTAAAGTTGGGCTTAATCAACTTTCCATCATTCTTTTCTTTCAATGCATTATAAAATAAGTGTAGGGTTTCTTGTTTCAATGAGTTTGTGTATGAGTTTATAGGATGTTTAAAGAAAGATGGAGCCCATAAAGTTTAGAGGATTTATGTGATCAGCTCAAAAAAAAATAATAATTAAAAAAAATCATACCATATAAAAATCAACATAGACATACATGATGATTCACTCTATCTAATATTTGACAAGCTAAAATTCATTCGTGGTACTTTAATCAAATGGGTGAAAATTTATGTCAAATATATGGTGCCGAAGATCCATTTTTATTTTATTATTCTTGTAAGGAATGGCTTGAAATAAGGTTACAATAATGAATTTTATAAAACAAGGGGTTTTTAACTGTAATGGTCCATGAACTTATACACGAGTTTCATTTTTGTAATCCAACTCGTTTTTTTATTCATTTTGGTCCTTACACGCGTGTTCTAACTTAGTTATGCCGTCAAATTCCATCAATTTAAGGGATAAAACTGTCAACTTGGATACAATTATCATCTAAAAATGAAAAAAAAAATGTTGCACATAATGACTAAATTAGAACATGTACTAGAGTTGGACCACCGAAATTACTCAAACATGAGTGTGATGATAAAAAGAAACTCGGGTACAAAGTGAGGACTATTGCGGTTAAAATAGCAAAGAAAAATGATCATATTCCTTCCTATTAGCAAGACCTATGAACCTATGGACCTACGGTGTATGAATGAATGAATGCAGTAGACGTGTCACGTATGGAAGAGCATCAAATGAAGGGCATGAGTACTGTGTTTGTGTTTTTGCCCAGTCCCTCCCTTCTGTATTTTGTAACTATCATTTTTTTGATTACGTGTGAGTGGAAGAAATTGTACGGTCCCAAAATCAATGGCAGGTTGCTTTGCGTAGTGGACGAGCTTTACGTGCAAGTGTGGTTGATCCTATCTCTCTGCTGCTGCTGCTGCTGCTGCTGCTGCTTGCTGTGCTCTCTGCAGCCTCTGTTCACTTTGTGGGGTTGAGTTTCTATTATTTTTTTTAATTTAGATTATGAGCAGGTGACGAAATGATGGGAAATTGAGTCAGAATTAACGAAGCCCAAAAGGATTCTCTTTATTTTTCGATTTAACATCTCATGCAAGCAAAAGGCTTTTCAGAATTTATAAAGATCCACCTCTCTCTCTCTCTCTCTCTCTCTGAGACACACATCAAACAGTTTTTACACACCTCCCCAACAAAACTAAATAAAAGAAGAAGGAAAAAAAAAAAAAGGAAAATGGAGGTAACTATTACTTCACTTCTCAGAACCAAATAAAACAAAACAAAACAGATGAGGAAATAGAGTTGTATTCTTATCATGCCCTGGTATCTCTTAGCTGGTTTTTTAATATCTTTTTTTTAAAATTACTTTGGTTAATCTTTTTTACAGTTCAAAATGTATTTATTTCTAGCTGGCTCAAGCCTTTTTTTATTTTTTTGGTCAACTAGCTGGCTCAAGCCTTTTTTTATTTTTTTGGTCAACTAGCTGGCTCAAGCTGTTTGTCATGTTGGAGGAGACATTACATCCAAAGCTCACAAACCAAAATTTCACACAACAATTATTATTTCCTACAAAGTTTTTTCTTTTTTGCTATGCTCGCTCAGACCCTTAATAATAGATAGATAAGGTCCCCACCCTTGAGAGCAATGCATCATAATCTAGATTCTAAGCACTTCAATTATACAACAATAATGCAAACAAACAACAAAAGCAAACTATATTTGGGAAAACTAAAGTGGTCCATACCATTTATCAAGTGTGGTTTGAAATTAGTCTTTTGTAATAATGGTATATGTTTCCCAAATTGTTTTAGGTTGGTTTGGAATATTTTTTTGTGTGGATAAAAACGATAAATTGCATTTATAATTCACGCACAAAGGTCATCTGTCACAAAAACCAATACAAATACAGATAACTACACAAGGTTATTACAAATACGAAGCACAGTAACCACAACGGGTTAATCCAAATACGGAAGACTTCCGTCATAAAGGTCACAAACTTGCAAAAGTTAGGCATAGACCACAACGCACATAACTACAACTGCAAACTACAATCTTTAAATTCTCACGAGTAAAAAAAAATTACAAGCAGAGACTACGAACATGCAACAAACTCAAACACATGAAGTAAATCAAGTGCTGGAACCCGAGATTTGCAAAACGACCCATCAAAACCAATAAAGGCAGCCACGTAGTCCTCAAGCAAATTAAAAGTCCGAACCCTAGATGTGTTAAAAAAGAGAAAGTAGAGGGAAGGTCGGTGAAGGGATGGGTGGGTAAGAAGGAAGGGGAGGTAGAGTGGAAAGGAGATGAGAGGACAAGAGAGGGAAAAGTAGGGGAGTAGAGGGGGATTTATGTGTCAAAGAAGAGAGGAGGGGGGAGGAGAAGGAGCAGTGACCTCCTCCCCCTCAAGGTTTGTGTGGCTAGAGAGTTTTTTTAGCTGAGGATGAGGCTAGGGTTTACCAAGCTGGAAATTAGAACTTAGGTTGGTTTGAAATTATTTGATTAGTTTTTGTTTTTGTTTTTCATAAATTTTAGGTGAAGACACAATTTTTATTCATCACACATATATTATAGATACCTACCAACTTATATAAAAAAACTAACCATTAATTGGGTAATAGCATAGGCTTTGAATATCCAATTAATATAAAGGGTCTTTCTCATACCTCTAAGACAGGAGAAACAGGGATAACACATTTTGTTATTCTCGCCCAATAATGCAATGACACATGGGCTAACTTTTGCACATGTCATTGTGTTATTGACTGGAATAGCAAAACAGTGTTATCCCCGTTACAAACAAGCTTTTTTTTGCTAAGACTGGCTAACAACATGTACCTCTGGGCCATCATAACAAACCTACAAATGCATTAATAGGCAGCACCCTAAACCAAAAGTGGCCTCAAGTTCCCAATAATGTTAATTTCAAAGTTAAGATCTTCTCAATCTTTCAAGATTTCCTTCACCAAATGAAGCAACTTTGGCAGAATATATGGCAATTAGTAACTAACAAACCATTAGATGTGCATATTGCATCCTCTAAACACAAACACCATATAAATATGTTTGACATGTGACCCAAAAAAGTTTAATGAGTCCAATATTCTTTCTGTTTTTCTTTCTTATTTCATACAATTTTGTTAAGTTGGTAAATTCATTAAATTATAATAATGTGAAGAATTGCATTATATCATGCCTGCAAACCCGACATGCACATATCCCTATCAAGTACTTCCCCTGAGATTTTTTTTTAAACTTGATTTATAAGCAGGGGCTGCAGCCACAAGGAAAACCCTCCAATGGTTAACCACATTCTTTGTCCCATTCCAAGATCTTGAAATATCATCTCCTCTCATTTCACAATCCCTTGGTCCTTCATGACAGAGCAAGTGAGCAACTCTTTCAAATCCTCCATAATATTGTACAGGGAGAAAGTCCAACAAAACCCCCTGGAAATCACTCAACCTCTCAACCCAAAAACCCAATAGGCCCCATCTCTGATTCTTCCCAACTCCAAACTCCAGAAACCCTTTTTGTTTTTTAGCCCCTTCTCTTGCTGTTCTCCTTTGTACTTATATCCCTCCTTGGCCAGCCAATTTTCCCCATTTCAAAAGCTAGCCCTTTTCCCTTTTCAAGCATTTTTTTTTTTCACCCTTGCTTTATTCTCTCCCTCTCTCATCCACTAATTTCAAAGAAACAATTCCAAAACTCCACCACTCCACTCCCCTCTATAAATTGAGCAAAACCCATTGCTTAGAAAACCCAAGAGCTCCAAACTCCACCACTCCCTCTCTAAATTGAGCAAAACCCATTTGCCAAAACACTCAAAGGTTCCAAAATCCCATCACTTTTCTATAAATTGAGCAAAACCCATTTCTTAAAATCCCATCACTCCCTCTACAAATTGAGCAAAAACCATTAGATTAAAAATTAAAAAAAAAAAAAAAAAAACTCTCATCTCCTCTCCTCAAAACCCAATTACACAAAACCCATAAATCTTCTTCAAAACAGATTTTCAAACCACACCAGAAATGAAAGAATATTGGACTTCTTTGGCCTCTTTGCTAGGCGTTTTAGCCTTCTGCCAGAGCATCCTTCAAACAGTCTTCCCACCAGAGCTTCGCTTCGCCTTCTTGAAGCTCTTCAACAAGATCTTCCACTGGTTCTCCTCCTACTACTACTTCGACATCACGGAGATCGACGGCGTCAACACCAACGAGCTCTACAACGCCGTCCAGCTCTACCTGAGCTCCACCGTCTCCATCTCCGGCAGCCGCCTCAGCCTGACACGTGCCCTCAACTCCAGCGCCATCACTTTTGGGCTCTCTAACAATGACTGCATGGTGGACGCCTTCAATGGCGTCACCGTCCTCTGGGAGCACGTGGTCACGCAGAGGCAATCCCAGACGTTCTCATGGCGGCCATTGCCGGAGGAGAAAAGAGGCTTCACTCTGCGCATCAGGAAGAAAGACAAGTACCTCATTCTCAACAGTTACTTGGATTTCATAATGGACAAGGCCAACGAAATTCGAAGGAAAAACCAGGATCGGCTTCTGTACACAAATTCGAGAGGTGGGTCGTTGGATTCTCGAGGCCATCCTTGGGAATCTGTGCCCTTCAAGCATCCAAGCACGTTTGACACATTGGCTATGGACCCAAAGGTGAAGAAGGAAATTATGGATGATCTCAAGGACTTTGCCAATGGCCAAGCCTTTTACCAGAAGACAGGGCGCGCTTGGAAAAGAGGGTACCTTCTGTATGGTCCTCCAGGCACTGGGAAGTCAAGTATGATTGCTGCAATGGCTAATTTTCTTGGGTATGATATTTATGATCTTGAGCTCACTGAGGTGCACACCAACTCTGAGCTGAGGAAATTGCTGATGAAGACAAGTTCCAAGTCTATTATTGTGATTGAGGATATAGATTGTTCAATTAATTTGACTAACAGGAAGAAGAACAATGGTGGTGGTGGAGGAGCTTCTGGTAGGACTTATTATGATTCAATGGAAATGAGAGGAGGTGGAGGTGGGGGTGGTGTTTCAGTTCCTGGAGAAGAAGGTGGTGGTGGAAATTCAATTACACTTTCTGGGTTGTTGAATTTCACTGATGGGTTGTGGTCTTGTTGTGGGAGTGAGAGGATTTTTGTGTTCACAACCAACCACATTGAGAAGCTTGACCCTGCATTGCTGAGAAGTGGAAGAATGGATATGCATATATTCATGAGCCACTGTTCATTTCCAGCGTTGAAGATTCTGCTGAAGAACTATTTGGGGTATGAGGAGGGTGATTTGGATGAGGAGATTGGGAAGGAGTTTGAAGGGGTTTTGGAAAAAGCTGGAATGACACCAGCTGATGTGAGTGAGGTGTTGATCAAGAACCGGCGCGATAAGGGCAACGCGGTGAGGGAATTGTTGGAGGCATTGAAGGCAAGGGCAGAGAAGAACAATGTAGGGGGTGGTTCAAGGGAAAAGATTAATGGAGGCCATGATTTGGAGGAGGAGGAGGAAGAAGAGCAGGAGAAGAGGGCCTTGGAGAGCCCTAAAGAAGAAGGGTGTGACTTTGTTGAGGGCAGCTGCAAGAAAGGTGATGAGAAGGATCCAAAAGAAGATAATGAGATTATAGAAAAATGAAGGGCACCAAGGTTAGGTTTTCTTTTTCCTTTTTGTGTTTCTTTTTATGGGTGCAGAGCAGAGAGAAGATGGGGTTGGAGATTTGGAAAAAAGAAAGGCAAAAGGCTGATTGATTATTGCATTTGGAGTATTGGATCTTCAAATTTTGTTTTGTTGGGATAAGAAAAGTTAGAAGCTTTCTAGTTCTAATATTATCCAAATTCTAACATGTTATAAAAATCTGTCTTTGTAGTTTCCAATAATGAAATCAAAATCCATTTACTTGCACACTTGCAGCCAAAGGAATAATCATATCAATATTATTGTATTATATGATCCATAGATAAGGCTTGTTTATTTGCATGTGGTTTGGTTGGCCATATGATATGATTTCTTGTCTACGTTGCTTTATGTGTTAAACAAATTGGTGCAAATGTTTCTGTTCATATCTTCGATCAGTTGTTATCCTCTATGCATATGCTTGCATTGAGCTTTGCTAGCTGGCTCAGTTGCTGCTGCTGCTTCTGAGACCACATGGCCAGATTTTCTTCTCGATGGAGATGCTGGAATTAAACTAGTCATACTATTTGAACATGAACATTTCTGGTCATATATATTTGGATCAAAATCCCATGGTTAGCATTAGTTTAAAAAAAGAACTACTTTAGTGGTGACCAAGTGATGAAACTCGAAGACGTTGTTGTGACAACAGGGGGTATGGTTTGGTTTGGTTTGGTTTTGTACGGTTTCTATTAGTAATTAGGTAAAAATGTGAGGTGCATAGCTTTAGAAAAGAATATTACTTATCGTTCACATGCTGTTTAAACTTGGAGATCCGAGTCTACAAGTTAAGATCATTTTCTACTGGGTTAGTTGACCATTTTCTACTGGGTTAGTTGACCATTAATATGATCGGTGTCATTTCAACTCGTGACAAAAAAAATTATTGAGGGCCATTGATTAAGGGCTAAAAAAGTATTTCATTGCTGATCACAGGCTGTTTTTGAAAACAAAAAAAGGGTTTGGTATCCCAATTGAAGTTTGGGTTGTCGATTTGTACTTAAGTTTGTGGTAATGATAATTATGATATTGTTGAAAAAAGAAAAAGAAAAACTGTGTCAATGGATAGGAAGAGAGGAGGGGTAGTTTGGGAAAAGGAGGCTTGAAAAGGTGAAACAGGTAAACAAGGCCCAGATTTTGTGTTTGGAAAAGGAGGATTGAGTTTGCAAAAAGCAGCAAGAAAGTTTTGGTTTCTAATGAGTAAAAAGTTGACATTTTCTTGTTGTTGTTGTTGATTTTGATATTTGAGTTGGAAAGGCACTGGGTTGTCAAGCCTAGAGTAGATCTTGGCCTACGTGGCGACATGTGAAGTTTTTTGTTTCATGAAAAACATGCCTTGTGAGTGAAAGGTGCACCTTCTCTTGCCTGCTTTATTTGCACGCATTATAAAATGCAAATAATTTTGACCATTTTAATCATTCTTTAACCAAGGCCAACATGGAATATCCCTGGCGCCTAATACAAATAAACAACAAGTTGCAGATAAGGTGGTCTTGAGATTTTGAGGGCCCTGTACTAAATTTAAATTGGGGTCTCGCATAATCTATATAAAATACTTATAACTAAAAGTCATCATCAATAAACATGTAATAACAAAAACATACCTTACTATTCAAAAATCATTCATATTGTATTTGTTATCTTTATTTAAAGAATTAAAACTATTACAATAGTTTTTTTTTCCCAAAGGAAAAAAAAAACACAACCAGTACAAACTTAATGTATGAAAATTGATTTTCTTGAATTTTTTGAAGAGAAATCATCAATCAAATGTTCATAATCAAGTTTTTTTTTCTTTCTAGAAGTTCACTTCCAATTGAAATCAAAGTTAGTCCGTTTAATCTTTCTTGTGACAAAAATTGTCAAAGGATTGAAAAAAATGAACCAAAGAGAGATTGATGAATGATGATGATTACTTACCAGAAAATCAGAGTTTAAGAGAAAGAAGCTAGGAAGTTATTTTTTTTAGTGGAAGAAAGTACTTTTTTTGGAGGAGAAGGCGTTTTTTTTTCTTTCTGAAGAATGATAGGGAGGATGACTTCAAATTTGTTGTTATAATGCAAAAAATAATAATAATAATAAAAATGGGTAGAATGACTTCGAGCCCCTTCTATTGACAAATATGCACTACAAAGCCAACTCCGCCGCACACACTTTTGTGATAATATGCAGCATGCTAAAGTATATATATCATTCCTATAATATTAATACATAAAATATAAAGAATTTTTTTTTCGGAGGCCCTCCAAATTCAGGGGCCTTGTGTGGTGGCGCCACTTGCACCACCCCAAGGCCGCCCCTAGTTGCAGAGAAGATTTGGCTAAACAAATAGCAACGGAAACTACGACTAGAAGATTTGGCTAACACCATATAACTTATATGCCAAGCTAAAGAAGTTGTTATCATGAAGCTTTTTCAAATGAAAACGCGTTGTGGGCAATTGTGAATTGTATTATTTTGTGTCAAGTTAGAAAATGAAAATACGTAGTAAGCAATTGTGAATTGTTTGTACTATTTTTTGCTCCACTATGAATGAACATTTTGTTAATTAATATTTAAAATCTCTCTTCAAACTAAATGCTTCACACTTCCATATTTCACCCCTAACACCGGATCCGCCACTACATACAAGATGTAAAAATTTATTATCTAAATTTTAAATGTATTATAAATGGTTGTTCTATGTCTATTATATATATATAATTTAGTGTAAGTGATAGTCTAAATTACATAGGGAGGGGGGTTTTCACACAACTACCATGGTGCCATGGGGGTTCGAACCTGAGACCACTAATCTACAAATCAATGACATTTTCCACTATACTAGACCATATTGACACTGAGACATTATTTTTTAGGGACAAAATCTACTCTTAAGGACAGTAATTACACGCCTCAACCTAAAGCTCTTAGTCCCATCAAGCTTATATATATGAAGATCTGGTTTCTATATTCCAAAAGATAAGTATTTGACAATAATTTTATTTAACTTGATAAGTCAATGTAAATTATAATTTTTCAAACATTTATTTTATGTGATGTACTGCAGGAGAAGTAACATCCATCAACCAAATTTTCCAACAAGAATTTAGTGCAAGTAGAATGTAAGCATCTCATGACCATAATGCAATAGCCAGTGGCGGAGCCACTCCGAGACCTGGAGTGGCCCTGGCCCCCCATATTTCTATCCCTCCTCTATTATATTATATATAATATATAGAATTTGTAATAAACAACTTAGAATTTAAGTTAAAATTTACTCCAAAACAAATTAAACATGAGTCAATTAGAAATATTTAGCTCTAAATATTTAATTATTGAATACTTAGGTGTTTTATATACTTGTATTTTCTACTTCGGCCCCCTCAACTTTACAATTGTGGCTCCGCCCCTAGCAATAGCCATCTATTTTCTAAGAACTTGTAGCTCGAATAGTTAAAAGTATTTACCTTTCACCTAACCATGTACTTGTTCCTACAGGAGAAATCTTGTGTCGGTCTCCCCTTCCACCATCAAAACCCACGAAATGCTAGCTTCATTGCAACAAAATTAGGCTCCCTATAAGAATGATGAATCCGACAAGACCCAATGGTTCAATGATGATGGCCAAATAACCACTCTTACTAGCAATCTCCAACTCATAGAAAATGGCCTACAAGCATACAACAATTTTCAGTCAAACGTAGCTTCCCAAATTATCAATGTGAAATATTACATGTTGTTCGGTATGTTGTTTGAATGTGCGGTTCAAATTGAGTCGTTTGAATGTGTGATCTAAATTTAATCATAAATATACAGATACTTAGCACGAGAACATTCCATCTAAAATAAAGATGAGCATGCGCGCATGACCCCTCACTGAGTATGAGACGTCGGAGGTGAAGCATGCAACATGTTTTGACCCAGCCAGCAGGGAACTCCACTCTTAAACAACATAGTCCTATTCTTCAGTATTTCTCTCCCATGGAAATCAATCAATAGAAAGATTTTTATTCTTTTTGTTCCCCATTGAGCCATGTTACTTGTCCCACCAAATAAATATATAATAAAGGAAGTACATTTTCCATTGGCATATCCAAAAATGAGAATAAATTCAATGGTGTGCGGCTTACTGAAAAGTTAAGGAAAAAAAAAAGAAAAGAAAAAAAAACTTTCCAGTATGAGGATCTTAGACCAATTTGTTGACTGGACTAAAATAAGATTACATGGATATGGATTAAAATCCGAATAAAATTATATATAATTGTCACAAATGTAGCCAGCAATTTGTCAAAAGAAGAATCTATATCGCTTCCATTCCATGCATCTGTGAACCATTGGAAAAATATGCAAATCCAGGCCCTGCTGGTCAATGTGGCCATTGGTAAACAAATTCTTCACCAAGAATATAACCATGAAGTCTCGGGAAGGACCTATAATAACAATTCCAAAATAAATAAATAAAACTATAAGTTGACCCAAGAACAGTATAGAATTATAGATTTTCAATATAGCTATAGTGGATGGAGACATAAGCATTTTTGTATTGTAGTAAAGAATTGTAAATTTATTATGCTGATTTTTCATTCTTGGTGGAGATAAATAGTGGTATTCCCTAGTAGAGGAGGTGGACAGGTGGGTGAGGAGATTTGTATGTTCTCTGTATTTTGTTTTATATTGTTGGTTGGCAATGGTGAATTTATGTAAATGAAAATGATTGGGATTCTAGCATTAGAACATGACATTAATTTGCTAACTCTTTTTTCTTTCCCAATTTTAGATAAGGAGAAGAGCAGGAGGTCTACCTCTCTCAAAACCCTAACTCCCTCTCTCTTAAAAAACACTCTACAACCGTTTTCACTTTGACTCTTTTCTGCCCCTCTCCCCTTCTTCCTTCCTCCCTTCTCCTCTTTTACTCAATTTTCAGAGACAAAAGGCTTCCTCCATTTGTCTTCGTTTTATAATGATTTTCCTCCACTCATCACATGCGGATGCATCTCGGCATCGGATCTTCACACACATTTCAGTGTTGGATCTCTACCACCATTCTTTTTTAGGTTTCTTTATGTTTGGAATAAGTCGCAGAGACTCTTTAGAGTTTTATGTGTAGTTTTCATCTCTTCTTTGTGAGAGCTTTCCACCTCTCCTTTGTGAGAGTCTTTTTTGTATTGTTATGGCTTGATTTTTTCAAGCTTTATCTATTTTTGGTTGTTTTGAGTTCGCACTCTTAGTTAGGATACCTATGTTAGAGTTTCTT